TAAGATACCAAAATTGAAACCAAAGCCATTCAAAAAGTCTTCTTCGTCGATGGTTTTATGTTCGACGGTATTAATTGAATTCAAGAAGCCTTCCTTCAGATGCCTAACCTCGCTGGGGTTTTACTTGCCTTCCTTTTCGTCGTCACTTACGCCAACTATGCCGATCGTGAGTTCTTAGTTCTTCGTGAGAATTTTTACTGGACCATCAGCTTGAGACGTTAGTAGTACTACTCACTTGAGCCTTGAGAACTTGGTTTTCCGATTTCGCACACGAGTTAAGTGTTTGAGAAAGTCATCCCAGTTGTCGACCAATCCCAATGAGGTTAGAAAATCTTCAGGAAATTAGCGTGGAATTTTTGTTGAGACACAAGAGGTGCACGCCAATATAAACCAGTAGATCTGTGGTTCCCGGTCTAGTATACAGCATGGGTGAATGGCCATTCATCCAAAGCTTGTCTGAAGCTGGTTGGACGCTGAAGTACTGTAGGCTAGATCATAGTGGTACTGTAAAAAGTGGGTTCCGATGTTGCTGAAGATTCTCAAAGTAATGGATGTGCTCTGAAGAGAAACTTTTTCATTGTCAATAACGTCGTGGTAAAAATAATCGTTTACACCTGTCAGAAGCCATATATAGACAAAGGGAGTTGAAATCAAAGCACAGGCCGAATTGTTACAACCCGAGTGAAGGCCATCCAATTATATGAGTTCCACTGAATGAACTGGAATTCCATTAAGTGAATGACAATGCTATGGTATTGATTGAATTGATTCTCGTAATGAATTTCAGGGTATGACCGATCGAAGATGCCATGGGATTTGCGTCCCGTTCAGAACTATATTGGGCTGTGGGCACTAACATCCACCACTGGACGATCCAGGTAGTTTCCCTGGACAATGCCATTTTTTCGTACGCAACGGCTTTCCGCTACTGTTCAACCGCTCTGGAATTCTATCTGTTAGGCTTTATTTTGAAAGAACGACTTTGCAGAGATCTCCCGCCACCGGATCAAATAGACTTCGCCATTAATCCTGTTCCAAAATTCGGAGCTCGTGCTATCAATATCACGTAGGTTTTTTTTCGACGACATTCTAAGCCTGCATCAGAATCGCTACCTTAGAATGATCATCTTCGGCGTAAACACAACAGAATGCCTTTCATGTCTTTTGAAATTAGATATCGCGAATTCCTGGAAGAGGATAGGGATAAGGCGTAAAGTATTCGTCATTGCTAATCTCTTTTTGGGATGCGTTTATTCGATACGTTACATTCGTAGTGGTCATGATGCGATTTGACCCATAAAATACTTGCGGGGCCGGCTGATGTGCAAGTCAGTGTTTTTTTTATCTCCCAGACGAGTTTGATACCAATAACTCGACCTCAGAAGATGGAAGGCTTCTGGCCAATGACACACGACCCAAGATTCGATCCACGGACCGTGCGCATGGTATGCAGCGCCACTTCGCAGTACATCACTTCCGCCCTTACGTTTTTTTTTCCAATCTTTCCATTGCAATTCTTGGAGCATTCAGAAAAAAGGGGTCCGGTTTCAGTTCAAGAGACACTTGACCTGATTGATTCAGGACTTTTGAAGGCGCATTCCCGATTAGTTGACTGTAACAATCCTTATCGTGAAGGTGGGTAGGTAGTAGAACTATGTAGTGAAATTTTCGAGACTTCAAATAGGTGGCGAGGGTTCCAGCGGCCTAAAACCTACAGCTATGTACACCTCACGAAGAACGGCTATCGTAACGGTACCTGCGTCCAACTTTTCCATCGAGTTCTCTCTCGTTAGCATTCATTACCTCCCGGGCTCCACTTCATGGAATTTCCCAGATTCTTCCACCGGTTGGAGCATACATGCTCTTATTTCGAGTGCTTATCTTTCTCTTTCTTTTATCTTTCTGTTTCCTTTTTCTAAACGGCTGGTCAATCAACACCTATGGTTTCTCCATCATGATCACCTTTGTTACTGCGGGCATCGTGCCGAATTGTTGACCTGCAACATATTGGAAAGCCGAAATCCACTTCCCTCCTTCGAATTCAATTCGCGTTCAGTTCCTTTTTTTAACGGCTGTTTTCTAGGCGGACTGCTGCTGCCTTGTTCATAGCTGTGTGATAGTCACTTGATGTACCTAATTGGGACTACTCTCGTTCGAATACGGCGACAATTTTTTAAGAACATTTATGATGCTAAAGCTTTGGAGCAAACAATCAAAATTTCGGTGCTGGTATCGCAAGTTTTAAGCGTCTACGACTACATGGCGTGAGCTGCTGCGCTTAGATCGACCTCGAACTTTATGAATGATATTACACGTTCACAATAGAGAGAACCGTTTTCCTCTTGAGACGCTGAAATACACAAGCGATTGGCTTCCGGCGCGCGCGCTCCCTACATGCAATGGAAGCATTCGTGCCTGTCGCCTGTTGCCGGCAGTGCTTTGTCAGAGTTGGGTCACGGATGGATCGCAAGAGGCAGACAAAGGAACGCATGAGAGGCGGAACATTGACGATTTCTGCAATGTTGTGTTGGACTGTTGATACATCGCTACTGAGGGACAAACAGGTTTCTCTCAGTCGTTGCAAGTTGCTGAATCATATTTGAATTTGCACCATCTTGCGGAAAACCCGCCCGGACCACACAAATGAACTGCTTTTTGATCAACTTTGACTGCATTGCATAATATATGCGCTCTGTGACAATCGTAGAAAGCGGGAGAATTTACAGGAGAATGCGTTTGGCGAGCACCAGCGAAATATTAGGTACCGGATATCTTAGTGTCGCTTTTCTGAGTTCAGGAAGTTTTGGGGCCGATTACTATGGAAAATCAATATCTCAGAAAGTCCTTTTTGCTCATTAATACTGCGAAATATGTTGCTTATTGTTTTCTATTGTTGGTTCACAATTTAACTTTCCCCCAATTTTTATTTTTTTTTTGAAAATTCCTGGGTCCAGTGTGCAAATTCGCATGTGTGTACCAAATGCTTCAAAATTCTTGCTGAGAGCTACAACTTCCGCCCACCAAACCAACATTGCATTTGGGAGGAAATACTACCATTTAAAATGCTCATCGGTTTTTCACAGTTTCTCAAAAGACAGTGAAGTCTTTGAAGTGATGCCCGCAATCGTCGTCAAAAAGGTGGCCCTAGTTAAATCAGTCGAGACGGGGCTGCACCAGTCTTGTGCTGAAATGTAGAGGACACCTTAGCAGTGACTGATCGATGATGCACAAACGCTTTAACGAAGTTGATTGCACAAGAAATTCTAATAAATGTGCTCATCTGCTACTCACGTGTGCTCAAAAAGGGTGCGTTTTTGACCCTATGTGGCAAAAAAGACTCCGGGAAAAATTGTCCAGTTGAGCTGGTAAGTTATAACTTTCCTATATCGCAACCTCTGTATATTACATGAACTCTTAATATCTGTTACTCTTTGGGCCATAACCTTTTTAGCAAATGAGAGAGATTATTATGTCAATGATTCAAAACGCCTACTCGCTTTTTCGACTCAAAATTAGATCATCGTCGAGGTTTCAATCTACTGGCATGGGAAAGGTTCTCAATAAGTCAGTCGATAATATGCTGTTTCCACCCGGATTCTGATTTAAAGTATGTTGTCGCCGAAAACAGTGTGGTAAAAAGACGACTAAGAATATCCGCGTACTAATAGTTCTACGTAGCGATAGAGCTGGCACGACCTGGTAGGCACAAACCCAACAAGTTCGCTCTCGGTGTGATTCCTACTAGCGAACCTAATTTCATGGCTTGTTTTTATGTTGATATGATCTCGAGCACAAAAATAGAAGCAGTGGTCCGAAAAAAGCAAAATGGAAATACTGTGCTCATGGTTAGACCATGAAACACTGAGCGCGGGAGAGAGAGGATAGGCGAGAGCTTTAACGGCGAGAGGACAGGTACCCTGCATTTCCAACAGGCCAAAGGCTCGTTCCGGCTCCAATGCAAGCCCTAGCGTCTTTCTGTGCTATCCAGCAATACGTGGAAAAGCGCGGATAAAAGGATAAAGCATTTGCCGTTGATCAATCCCTTTTTGGGATGCGGCACGCATTCTACTTCCATTTGTACATTCGCAGTGGCATTTGAATGCGATGTGGCCTATACAATGACTTGCGGGGCCAGCCGATGTTCAAGTCAGTGTTTTTATCCTCCCAGACAAGTCTGGTACCAATTAACCGACCCCGGAGGGATGGAAGGCTTGGTTGGCCCGGGCGACTCACGACCCAGGATTTGATCCCGGACCGCTCGCGTGGTGAGCGCGCCACTTGTCACTGCACCACTTCCGCCCACCAGCGCGGAAAAGCAGAGAAATCCGTCGACAACACGCAAAATGGTACCCCCCCCCCTCTATGCCCGTTTATTTTCAAACATGGATGAGCGGTAGCCCCAAAAAAAGAGGTCGGGTTGGGGAAAGGGTTAGCTTCGTGCGGCTGTGCTTCAAATTATAATATAGGGATCAGTTTGGTGCCATGCGCTACCGCGCGATCTCATGTTAGGCTTCAGTGAAACCTGCAGGATATCAGATCAAGAAGGGAAACCAATAGCGAGGTCAAAAATGCGTTAGACGAAATTCAGAGGCTATCCTGTCTATTTAAGACTGCATGGTGCGCGCAGTAGCCTGCGATATGGAAGTGGTGTTTATCATGGATTCGTAAACATTTAGCATTGATATCGATCATCATTGCCAAAGTCCAGATAGTTAGGCGGCTCAACATCATTCGCTTCTTTTGATGGAGGGTTATGAATCAAACGCACTGCGTTTCATAATGATACATCCGCCGACAGATTGTTCCAAAACTCTTATTTCAGAGTCTAAAAAATGTTCCCATTGGAAATGTTTCAATTTCGGTCGTAAGTTTGAAGATCAGCACAAAATTTCAGATTGAGATAGTCAAAAGAATTTGTGTTCGCTTCTCCGTAAAAGATAGCTTTTTCTCCGTTTTGAAATGATATGACCAGCCACCTCGTGTTCCTTCGCTGAACTTCATTTCTACTTTATGAAACTAGTGGGCAATTTTCGATTTTTCCTCCTTTTTTAGTCATCACAGAAAGGAAAACGGCGGACTTTGAAAAAGGAGAAATTGTCGTAAAAAAGAAAGAAGAAGTCAGGCAATTCACTGCCAGAATTGAGTTGAAGATACGCACTGGTTCACAATTTCTTTTGGGATCGTGTGGGAAATGGAATTTTAAAGAGGTGGACGTTCTCTTCCTGTCCTTGATCAAGATAAACGATACAGTGTAAGAAAAACATACAATTCCACCATATCATGCTCGGAATTTGGGTAATATTCCGTATGTGTGCCTTAACCCTTTGACGACAATGGCACCCACCGGTGGGTGCCACTATGTTCGCGCGTGGGACAATGGCACCCAATGGTGGGTGCCACCTTAAAATTTCCTTCTTTGTGCATTTAAAACATTTGTAACACCCTAATTATAAGCAAGTTCCATAATATCTATGGCTAGCACGACTTACAGAAATGTTTACTAAGAGCTAATTTATATAGAATTTTAGAATGTGCCATTTAGCTCGCCACCATATTAATTGGGATTTTAA